TATATTAGAGAGACGGCAGATGTTGATGAACTCATATTTTAAGTCAAGCAATCACCAAAAGGAATCGAAATAGGAAAGACGGAAAAGCCACAAATGCCCAATGGTCGAATGAAGTGATCTAGAAAAACGAATTATGACAGTCCCCAGAACAGGATAAGTCAAAAATTTCTTCCATCTTCAACCTTAATCCATGCCCTGCGTTCGGTCATCCAATTTATTATCTCACTTACAGGAGAAGGAGAACAATATGACCAGAATTTTCGAGATTCAAGTCAAATGGTGACTGAAAGACTGAGGGCGCTGTGGAAGGGATGGTAACCGGGTTGGAATGACACATTCCATGTCAACTTAATGGGGTCCTTAAGCGCCGAAGGAATTCGAACTCATCCGTCATCCAGACATTTTCGCTGTCCTGGACTCTTTGTTCATGATCTTCACCTTCATATCTCAAGGCTGCCTGCCGGAGCCGGGGTGGCCTCGAATTTTGGCGGCGTCAAACGCCTACGCATTGAGGGGTGATCGTGAGGGAGACCCATGATGTTCTTCTGCAGACGGGGTTCCTCGTTCATTGGTCTGCTGGGATGACAGAGGGGGATCGGAGGATGGCTTGTGAAGCGCATGGTAAACCTGAAGGCGGCCACTAGGTGACAAGCACCCGCAGCGATCATTTTCTCACGCTGTGGTCAGAAATTGGGGGGGTGTGAGCCTGTCAGGATGGCTGAGTGCCGGAGCGGAGCAGCGGAGGTAAGCCTTGGGCTTCGGGAGCGATTGCCCAAACTCCCCACTGGGCCGCTGCAAGATAGATTTGATAGATCAACCTGTCCTGTGCGTGCGAAGATCTGATTTTGCGACGATCAGCGGTTCAAATCAGGAATGATGAATGCGAGGGATCAAACACGGGAATCTCTGATTTCTTTTCCCCTTTCTTTTCTTTTTTACCTTTGGACAATTCTCAGCTTATGTCCCAAGAGAAGCTAGACTGAAAGGCAGTGAATGTGGTCTCTCGAGCCAGCTCAAGACCTTCAGGCTTCAGCGATTTGATTGATTAAGCTCAGGGGATTTTGCGGAAGCAAACCACTTTTGTCGTATGCTAACCAAGCCACGATCGCACTATCACCGACAGTAGCGCCTGTAGTTCAGCACTAGCCTTTAAAGAAGCTGCAGCTCGGGGCACTTTCTGGCTTCTCTTTCTCAATCCGACGGATCCATGGGTCGATCATGATTCGTTCAAGACGCTTTTGGAACATCAAGCAGAAATATCCGTCACTGACGTACTCCGCACAGACAGACGCTTCTGGTTCTTGATGATTATGTTGATGCCGCGCATTATCTCAACAACTCTTTTCCTTGTGCGCGGGCACTCGGGAGAGTGTGGACAGAGGCAAAGGGCAGAAAATAGTGAAGTTGTTCCCTCATTTTAGGACGGGTACGAAGAAGGCTGTGTGGGATTCCTTGCTGCAAGGGAATCGAGGGAAGGCGAGTCAGGCAATCCCACGCATTCACCCGCAGGGCCGCAGATCCATGAAAAGGGTAAAAGAAAAAGTCAACGACCCAAGCGATCATTGATCTTCCGATGTTAGTGTGGACGGGAATGCAGGACTTTCCCTCATTTCTTCAAAAATTTCCTTCGTTTGTTGACGTGAAGAGATGCCATTGTGATCCGAAAAATTGGGCAACATCAAAGGGTACCTCCTCGTGCGCACAGGGTGCACCGCAGTCGCGAACGAGGCCCACAAAGTTGAGGCGGCCATCGCCTGTCAGACCCAACACGAGAATTCTTCTTCACTTTCGGATGCGCCGTCCTCGGAAGCTAAAAAACTCTTGCTTTTCAAGTTCGCCTTGCTGTGCCTTCGACAGATTGTTTGTGCTCCCGCTTCCCAGGCGCGGCTTACCAGCGACCTCGCACGATGAGAGGTGAGGCTGCAGCCCGAATGTACACATAATTTCATCTCAAACCAAGAAGGCTTCCCCGAGGGCGGAAAAGAATATTTCCTATCCCTTGCTCGGAATTTTGAGCACTTGGATAATTAAATCCGGTAGTGTTGATGAATTTTGATAGCGAGTATGCGGTTGCAAAGGATCTTGCTGTTTTACTTTTTATCTTTTCATCTTTCATCACAGCCAAAGACTTCGAAGCTCCAAAGCAGATGAGACAACATTCATCGCTTAAACTAACACGGGGTAATACAAATGAGATATTTGTCTTCCAGTTAACTCGATGTATTCGATTAGGCCTTGGCTAAATTGGTGACGAGGATATCGTCGTACGTTTATTTTCATCCATCCACCCCCTAGGTAGAGTTGAACTAAGAATAAATGTAGCTGACCGGGAGCGGCGGAAGGTTAAACCCCTCGACTCTACCCTTTTGGATATAGACCCGACGAAGTAAAACTCTAGAGCAAGCTGGATGTACCTGACGTCGGTATAGATTGAAAGATTCGGGAATTGATTTGGATTCGGATAGTTCGCTCCCCAAAACGGGCCATCCTCATACCGACGAGTATTCGTCCTTCGGCGCTATTATTTGCCACCGCTGTCTGTTGACATGGCTCGCAGGAATGCTGTGCTGGTTTGAATTTGTTCATCTTACTCCTTACTTCTAAGCCGAGCTGGCACCCTCCAAAATCTACACTTCCCAAGAGAGTTGGAAGAGCATCCCGTATTCTAATCAAAGATGGGTTCACCCCGGCCTCTAGAGTGAGCGTTCTCTACTCCGGAGCTTAGTAGGCGGTTCTCATCGAAGCTCAAAGTGCCTGTGGCGTGGCCGGAAACTAAGCCAGAATGCGCTCTCTCTATGAGGCGCCGTCCGTGTTATTCGAAACGAAAACGTTCGCTTAACAATCTCCCCGAAGATAAGTGCAGCGACAGAATCCGAGTTTCATCTTCCGTCCTATGGTCAGTCTATCGCAATTAGGGTCATGGTCATCATTTCCTGCCGGAATGCGCGCCATAGATTGGCAGCGGAATGGTCGACGAGGTTAACTTTTATCGCGGCCATTGAACGCAGGGTTTGAGCCCTGCGAGTGCGGTTTCATAATCAAACATCCCAGGAAGAGCTTTTAGACGCTCTCCAAACGAACGACCTCGAGGATTCCTAATGGTTGTTGCCATGCCAATATTTACCCACCTAAGGAGTTTGACCTGGACCCTTCGGGAAAGAAAAACTCCCAATAGTCGAAAACATCTCACAAGGAGCGAGTCACTGGGTAAGAATGATATATTCTTGAGCTTCCCAGACTAAAAATGCCTCTATCCCCTGAAACGATGCTTCAGAGACATAACTGTGTCGTATGAGCTATCTCCATATTCAGTTATAACTGATCCTCTTCTATTGGACGGGGTGGAAGTTCACTCAACACTCAAGACTGAAACGGTAGATACCGGATATACCCGATGCCGAAACACGCTTTCCCAAGCCCAAGAATGCTGTTGACCAGAACCCCAGGTTCTAGAAGAGTCGGAAAACTCCGCGCGTCTCGATAGTGGAATGTACAACCACCGCCTCTAAGCATGAAATTTTTTCTTTCAATTGAAAGAGAACAACAATAGGAAACGGCCTCGCGTACTTAGTCTATCCGGATTAAGAGATCGCTACCCCCCAATGGTTTTGGAACCGACTATCCCTTTCCCCGGCCATGCTGGGTCAGATAAGGGGTCTGGCGATCCATCTGAGGGGCGACGTAGTTTAGTATTGTTGTTCCCATTGTCTGGTCGGAGGATTCACAATATTATGCCAGATGATTATTGATGAAGGAAAGAAGATATGTCGAGAATAACTTCTTGACTCGAAACACTTCCCCAGCCGACTCCGGGCCTTCGACATGAGAGATGAGATGACAGGTCATGAAAAGAACTGCTTTAAGATGATACGAAAATGCGATCATTATCTCTTGCGCGCGAGAACAGTGATATGTGCGACTGCTTTGCGAAGAGACTCGATCTGCTTCTGAGAGATTAGAGAGAGAATCTGGACCAAGTCATCACGCAGCGGGGAGATGAGATATGAAGTTGGATCGAAGCTCGTGAGAGAACTCGAGTAATAATTCCCGTGAACGTCATCGTACAGTGTTTCTGAGGTATGTAAATGCTGTCTATGTATTAATTAAAATTTCGTGTGAAGCTGAGGTGAGGTCTCTGAGGAGAGAAGACTCGAGACTTGAATGTCTATGCTTCTTCTTCTTCTTCTTCTTCTTCTTCTTCTTTTATTAGTTGTATTGTGCTGCTTGGGCCGGCTCTAGACCCTTCAAGTCGACGCCAGCGAGATGTGAGGATAGCAAAAGAATGCCTCAGCATCTTGATGTGTCCCCTGATCCGATCTGACTATCCCTTCTCTCTTGAATCATCTTTGTCGTAGAGAAGAGTTGGACAAACGAGCCGATCTTGACTTGAAGCTCAAATCTCTCAAGCCCCGGTGGCGCCTTGTTTTTTCCAAAACTCAAATATCTTCTCGGCATTTGATCAATGATCTCACCCGGCTTCTCATCTGCAAGTATACATAGGGTCTCTGGCTCTGGCGGCCGAGGCACTGTCACGATCAAGCTTCTTGGCCAAGAGATTGAGCGTTATGAGAGTAAGCTCCAGAGTTAACTGAAGCACGACAAGCTGATCAAGGGTATTCGGCGAGCAGAGAGCGAGCAGACTACGTTTAGTGAGCGATAGTGAACCATACTAGATCAAGAGTTCAGTATAGTGAGATTCAAATCGTAGGGATTTAATTGTATAGGAACGAATTGCTGATTCTCTTCTAAAAGAGAGAATCTTGCTGTATATAAGAAAGTAATTGCCAGCTGAGATGATTAGATGGCGATTGACTGGCTGTTCGCCAGCAAGAAGAGTTTCAAAGAGAGGATTCTGCATATTCTTAAGAGATGTAGAATGCGTCAATTGACTGGCGTGAAGTACAGTGCTCGTCAGTCACTAAACAAAAAGGTTCCTGTTCCGGCTGTTACTCTTAGTGAATATGACGACTAAATGCCGACTAAGCAATTATGGGAGGAAAAGCCTCCACCGAGGGTCACTCGGAATCTCCAGATTAGAAGTCTGGCGCCCTCACCATTAGGCTATGGAGGCCACTTGATGAAATTTGGTTTTCCAACTGCCTGGTTGAAGTCATTCAAATAACTAGTCTGCATCTCAACTGACAAAAGTCTCAACCCCGTTCTTCGTTTGAAATCAGCAAAATGTTGAAAGAGGGGAGAATGAGTGTCTCGTCACAAAGGCGAACTCTGTCAAAGAGAGAGAGGAGCAAAAACTCACTCAAAGCAGCGTGATATCAACAGAGCAAATCTCTAGTCGATCTTCATACTCAGTCGATGCTTGGCCATCTATCTTCTTCTCTTCCTTCGTGATGTTCGTGGTCGTATATGAGTGTTCTTCTTCTTGTTAATTTCCTTTTCTCCTGGAAGCTTTTTCATGAGGTCAAAAGAGCCTCAGAGAGGTTTGATCTAAGCCTAATCGAGAAACCGGAACATCAATCTTCCACCTGATCTGATTCCCCCACTACAGTACTAACTAATCTTCTCAGAAGAATCAGACTTGATGACGATAGCAGCTTCTCCGAGGGATAGAATGAGTGTATTCAAAAGAATTGATATTCGGGAGGGAGTCAGGAGAATTCCAGCCCTGCACAGCCACTTGGAAGATGCCATTCCACATATCCCAATCGCGGGTAATACTCCGTGCTTCAAAGGCAGCTTAGCTTCTATTGATTACCCATCCGTCCCCGTTTTCGATATCAGCTTTGAGAGGGATGAAGCTGAAGCAAAAGTGGACTCAAGATAATCATTGCTTCGTGTGAAAAGGAGGCAGAATATCGTACATTGGATTTGATCCGTCATATTCCCTCCGGGCAAAGGATGGAGAAAGGGTTCGAAGATGCGAGTGATCCCCCATCTCCTTATGTCTATCATGCCTTCAAAAGATCATCTCATCATCTCCCAAACTTCACTACTTCAATAATTTTGTAGTAGTTGACCATCACATCAAAAAGCTTCACCCGCACGCATGAAATTTGAACATAGAAAGAGATGAGATGAAATAGAGATATACATCAACCAACAAGCCGATCACAAACCCTAATCCACCAACCGGCAACACCACTGTTCGCCCATCTCCCGAACTCTCCTTTTCTTCCCCCCAAACTTTGAAGTTTGAAGGCCCAACTTTAAAGAATCTACGTGAAACAATCTTATTTGCTGAAGATCATCGACCACATAAGGTTCCTCTTACCCTTGTCAAATCCCCGTGAAGCCCACATGGCCCCAAAGAAGGGGATAGGGATAAGTTTCATGAAATGCCATCTTTACTTGTGGCTGAAAGATGATGCTCTGGTGGTGATGATTTTCATGAAGGTGTTTGTGGGGAAAGGGGTACAAATATGTCATCCCGCGGATCTGGCAGGAAGGGGTGGGAGGAACAGCGCGTGTTTATCCCCGATATCGCAAGATGATATTATGACAGCTCACGAGGGGAAGGGTATGATGTAGCTTTTAGAGTTAAATAGTCGGTGCACATCAGTTTACTCTTCCTTCAAGATAATATCCGCAGAATATGTGTAAAAAGGGATGAGAAAAGACTGGGAGAGACAAAGTTAAGAGGTGATAGAGTTGTCAACAGACTCTGAACGTGGACACAATTGTAGATTCTATGCAAGTGCCTCTTGTGTATGTAGATGATGGTCAGCAGTAATTCAGGAGATTGGATGGTAGGAGAAGGGGAAAAAGCGGGCGAGGTGAGAGATGAAGATATGTCGAAGTCCTCCGTAAAAGGCCTGCTTGCTAGAGAGGTATCACAAGAAGATAATGCACATGGAACAGGCTGTCAATGGAATGGTATATCGAATGGCATTCGAGGCTCTGTATTTAACCTATCCAAAAAGTGAAGGAAAGACATGAATAGAAAATCCGCTGAACCAAGTGAGGTAAATTGAAGAACAGTGAAAAAAGGGGGTATATCGAGAACTGAAGGAAAAAACCCCAAGGGCGCCAGGCCACGTGAGAAAAACCAAGATGAGTAAGAGGCACGTGCGCAGGTCATCAGTCTGACCTATCACACCGACTTTTTTATGCAAGACGGAAAGCGACGGGACGTACGCCAAGACTAAAAGAGTCACTGGATACGATCACATGGAAATATGTCACGGGATCGGCGGTCGCGGAAGAAAGGAAATGGATATCTTTAGGCGATCAACGGTCTTGCAGGGTGCAAACTGTGCGTTGGATGTATTTGTTTGGATGGCCATTTTCCGAGCCAGCGGATGTTGCAGTAAGGCCGGGTTAGGGGTGTTTCAAAGATGGGCGATCGGATGAACGTATGGTTCGTCATCGGAGCTCTTGTCCAGGTTATGCGGCGAAAGACAAGTAATCCTCCTTTGCGTTGTTCTCGCGGGGAATGGCCTGAACCATAAAGCTGTCGCTGCTCCGAATAGTGTTCCATGCATAGCACTGTGAGTGCGCAACTTTGCCGGTTCTTGAAGCCGGAGATATATAATGCGAAGTGTAGAGAACATGAGCGCTGGCTCAAAAGCTGTTAAGGCATGTCTCTCGTCACTGCAGGGCGCGGCTCTCGTTGCTTGCGGATATCTGACGGTAAAGCGCGCAGTTCTCGTATCGCAGATAGAAGTTCGTTCGAAAGGTTTCGAGATAAGTCGTTTCGGTATATCCGAGAAGATGTTACTCCATTTGGATTGCGCATAGAGGGGTATTCCCTTACTGCCTCCCTTGGAAGTATCCGTTTCGTTTGTTCCTAGTAGTGGTGGGGTTGTAGTGCAGATATCCGGTGGATTGCTCATCGGTTAAACCCCACCATGGCGGCGCATCGGCTGCAATAGTAGGAGTTCATGCCGAACCGCACGACGCCAGGTGATGAATGAGAATCGACGGACAGAGAGCGTTGGCATCTTGAGCAGCGGACGATGTCGAAGGACGCGGATGAGGTGGATGGAGCAGTTGAGTCGGATGAAGAGCGAGGAGTGAAGCCGCCAGTTGAATCTTTGGTAGGCTGGCTGGGGATCTGGACCGATGAAGAGCTCATGGTCGGTGGCCTTTCGATTTTGAGATCGGGTGTTTTGTGTGAAAGAGGATGATTTCAGCGCTGCTGAAACCTGGGGGAGACTCTGCTTTTATGCGAGTGATTTTCCAAGATCAAGCTAGTCGTGAGTCGGGCGCGGCGTCAGCGGGGCAGCCAGGCTGAGTCGACTTTCAGAGATCAAAGCACAGCTTATTGTTGATCAATGGCACTTTTGCAAGCTGTCGTTCAACGGATTGCGGAAAAGAAGGTGTGAAAGAGACGGAGAAAGTGAGCGGGGTCGGGGCCAGAGAGATATAATAATATCGCGAAAAGTGAAGAAGCGTTTTATTATTGAGATTGTACGCTCTTGCCGCTCAATCGACCGGGATACAAACCTGAGGACTGAGAACAGACAACAAGGGTGAGATACAGAACATAAAAAAAGATTGGAAAAAAGAAAAGATAAAAACAACCCCCTGGTCCGGCCGGGGAGAAGAAATGCGTGCATGGACTTTGGCGGACAGGCAGGCATGAACAGCATGCGCAAACACCGACTGGGTGAGATTTGGAAGAACCCAATTCAAGGCTGCCAAGTTGTGGCTTGACTCCTTCCCTCTTTTTAGCTTACCCTCGTGTCGGGGCAAAGAGTTTTGGGGTTTGCCTGGTTCTCCATCAGAACAAGCGATCGTTCGGTTCGACTCTGTTTTGGGGGCAAATTTTTTGTGGCTCGAAGTTTCAAATTTGCAGTCGCAAACGGAAGGTCGGGGAGGAAACATGGGTCTGCCATGTCGTCATCGGAAGCGATTCGTTGATCTTGAAGTATCACACATTAAAAAACCCTTTTCGCGTTCATTTTTGACCTCCTTTTTCGCTCCCTTTTCCTTGCTGCCTGCATGGTTGATTTCGAGCCTGTGGTCACCACCACGGGCGCTGAGTGGCACGACTGCCAAAAGGATGGATCCATCTTTCATCTCAGGGGGCTCCACCAATGCTATTCATGTTCTCGACTCAGTATTGGCCACTGACAAGGTTTGGAGGGGCAAATTCCTTCGCTGCCTTCACAAGCTGCTGGATTCGTGTTGTCCGAAATATGTCCTTCGATGTTCAGTTCCATTGTGAAATTCATTAAGAAAAGGGCCAATAGAGTGCCGTTTCTCCCTCATTCTAGCTATCTTGTTGTGATGAGCACGTTGTCTGAAACGAATGCGACTTGACAATGTGGAACAAAAATTGAATCGTAGACAGTTCGTTCCGCTTTTGAGCCCCATCTTCATGGAAGATGCCGAGACTTGCTGTGCGGGATGAGTCGCCGATAAGACGGCAATATCTTATTGCCTATTACGGTCTAGCGTGCGTATTCTGGGGTTGCTTCTCCTTCAACTCCGCTGTGGCAATATACACCTTTCCCTTTGGATAGCCGACATCGGGCCAAAAAAAAAATTCTCCCCGACTGGGAGTCGAACCCAGGTCGATCGCGTGACAAGCGACCATCATAACCGTTAGACCATCGAGGATTGTGGTTATGGTTCATGTTGAGGGCTTCTCACTCTATCTTCTAAGTGGCTCCCTTTTGATCTTGTCCCAGACTGGGCTTGCTTCGTCCATTGAGTTAGGAGGGAACCACAACCACCAAATAAATTATTTGCTATTTCTAAAGGGTAATCGTGGGAAGACAATTCGAGGGACCATGAGTATCTCTTGCGTCCGATTGCCTGAGACGGCCTCAGTTCAGCCCTTGGAGTACAACTTAGTTACGTATCTTATGAAAAGGGGGATGGTGATTCCCCCGCCCGACTCTTATCTCTCCTATTATTCAGAGGAAGAATCTCTAATATCAAGGTGGGAGCATAAAAGCAGGTGGTCTATATCCACCCTGCTGCATGCAGTTAACTGTGTGATCAACTTTCAGTTTACAACCATTTTCGAGGTGTGCTGAGCCGCAATATCCGCAACTCTCCGGGTTTTCTGGGGATTCTTTGATCATCTCCATTAAGCTATTAGGAGTTTGAGAACGGTATATATTAGTTGAGTCGAGCTGACCAGGGTGAAAAGGTTTAGAACTT